CAGAATTCCAGGTGACTTTTCTGGCAATTTTTTTCCCAAAAAAACCAGAAAAATCCCAATTCAGGGCAGAATTCCAGGTGACTTTTCTGGCAATTTTTTCCCCAAAAAACCCAGAAAAATCCCAATTCAGGACAGAATTTCAGGTGACTTTTCTGGCAATTTTTTCCCCAAAAAAACCAGAAAAATCCCAATTCCATGCAGAATTCCAGGTGTCTTTTCTGGCAATTTTTTCCCCCCCAAAAAACCAGAAAATTCCCAATTCAGTGCAGAATTCCTGGTGCCTTTTCTGGCAATTTTTTCCCCCAAAAAACCAGAAAAATCCCAATTCCGTGCAGAATTCCAGGTGACTTTTCTGGCAATTTTTTCCCCAAAAAAAACAGAAAATTCCCAGTTTTGGGCGGAATTCTGGGCGATTCCCGGGGGGATTTTTGTTTTTTTGGTTTTTTTTGTTCCGGGTGGAGATTCCAGGATTTTTTTCCCTGTCTCAGTTTGTGAAGTTTGCCAACATCGAGGAGGACACGCCCTCGTACCATCGCAGCTACGACTTCTTCGTGTCGCGCTTCAGCGAAATGTGCCACTGCAACCACGGCGACGCCGACGTGCGCGCCAGGTAACCACGGGAAAAAAACGGGGGAAAAAATGGGAAAAAAAATGGGAAAAAACATGGGGAAACTGATGGGGAAAATGGGGGAAAAATTGGGGAAAAATTGGGAAAAATAACAGGGAAAATTGGGGGAAACATGGGAAAAAATATGGGGAAAAATTGGGGAGAAAATGGGAAAAACATGGGAAAAAATGAGGAAAAAATGGGAAAAACATGGGGAAAAATTGGGGAAAAAATGGGGAAAAATTGGGGTAAAATATGGGGAAAAATTGGGGAAAAATGGGGAAAAAATGGGAAAAACATGGGAAAACTGATGGAGAAAATGGGGAAGAATTGGGGAAAAAATGGGAAAAATAACGGGGGGAAAAGAGGGGAAATGGGGAAAATCTTGGTGTGCCACTGCAACCACGGCGACGCCGACGTGCGCGCCAGGGAACCAAGGGAAAAATGGGATAAAAATGGGGAAAAATGGGAAAAAACATGGGGAAACTGATGGGGGAAATGGGGGGAAAAATGGGGAAAAAATGGGGGAAAAATGGGAAAAACATGGGGAAAAATTGGGGAAAAATATGGGGAAAAATTGGGGAAAAAATGGGGAAAAAAATGGGAAAAAAATCGGAAAAAAACGGGAAAAAATGGGAAAAAACCATGGGAAAACAGATGGGGAAAAATGGGGGGAAAAATGGGGAAAACAAAGGGGGGAAAAAGAGGGGAAATGGGGAAAATCTTGGTGTGCCACTGCAACCACGGCGACGCCGACGTGCGCGCCAGGGAACCACGGGAAAAAAACGGGAAAAAAAATGGGGAAAAATGGGAAAAAATATGGGGAAACTGATGGGGGAAATGGGGGAAAAATTGGGGAAAAATTGGGGAAAAAATGGGGAAAAAATGGGAAAAATAATGGGGGGAAAA